ATGAACTTTGTTCTTATCTTACGAGCTTACCTGTAGTAAATGTTTCTAAGGGCGTCGACTGTCGTCTCGGTCGTTTGCGCGGTGGCGAGGGCGGCCAGGAGGGTGACAGACGCGACAATCGTTGTGAACTTCATGACGGTACCCACCGATTTGCCAGGCTAAACACCGAATGCCGGCTCGAACGAAGACAACGCGGTTTTATAGCCGATGGAAGCCACGTACGGCCAATGAATTTTGATCAGGAACGTGTGCCTGGCTGAAAGGAAAGAAGAAAGCCTCGTTATCTAGGGTGCCGATGTTTTCACGGCTCTGTGTTTTGTCCTCGCCAGACAATTTTGATTTCGACATCCACTGTTACCGATCGATTTTGCTTCCTTGCATGGCCTGAAATCGCGTTCGGCAGATTTCTCGCGTCGATAACAGCCGCAACACTCGCGAAATAGCTGGATTTTAGAAAAGCAACGTTTGGAAAGAAGCGTGATAGTTACTTTAAGTGAAGACATACTGACGACAACGAAGTGAAATTGCCCGAGCGTCGATCGTGAGAGGAGAATAGATGAAAGTAAAAACGATTTATAAATGAGAAATAATGAAGACCGATGGAAGTTGATGGAAAGTAATTTTATACAGGCATTTGGTTCGCCCTTGCGTAAGAATCGTACGAGTGCTTGAACTGTAGTTTATATTGAATTTTTTTTCGCAATGAAAAATAAATGACTTTCGATATACTGATTACATGAATTTGCAATTTTATTCTTCTAGATTATAGATTAGAATAAGTCTGTATCTGGATTACAATATAGATTATATTGTAATATGGAGTATACTGATTAATTTTAAGATTTAGAATCGAGTTTCGATAATTACTATGATACATTGATTGTGATAATTGAATTATAACACAGTGGTAACTACTGTTTTTAGATCGTTTATTATGAACAAAACAATGAGTTACAACTTCGAGGTAGTGTCATCGAAGTATTAAATCATCTTTGTACAGTACATAACTTATTACCGTTTAAACATAATCGAGTTGTTAACGCGTACAATAAATAATAGCTGGGTATGGCACCCGAGAACATAACAATAAATAATCATATCCAAAAATAAATAAATCATCGCATCTAATGTTGAGGATTTCACATTCGAAGATTCGCATGTATAACGACTTACACTTGGATTGAATTATATATACATAAATTATCATTAATATGTAACACGATATCGTACCAAGTACACGTATTTATGTGTACACAGAAGAATTGTTATCAATTGCAAAATACATATCTGAGAAAATTGTGAAACTATAATTGCCACGCACAGTCCAGTGTACGATCGAAGAACATTATTTGGAAGATACGTTTCTCTCACTTTTCTGACAAAGTGTCAAAGAAACGAAAGTTTGACATTTCATCAGTAAATTTCATTCAGCTTCAAACAGTATCGGAGGCCGAACGAACATTTAAGAAACTCCTCGTAATAACGATTCTAAGAAAATGTCCTACTTATATCTCTAAATAGAACGTATTTAATTAAATCGAACAGAGCGCACATTTCTTCTCGATTTAACACGAAAATTCCACGTAACACGTCACGAATGCAAGGAACAATCAAAGCGTTTTTACGTGTCGCAAAAAGTGTTTCGCTTGTTACCGCAAGACATTTTAAATAATAAATTGGCTGTGAAATCAACTGACATCCTTTTATTACAATGATCGATCTATGACCTTGACACGAACGAATAGCCTATACTCGTGACCATCTAAATATGTTCGGCGCCTAGCGGAACAAACCAGTCGAACTCGTATTAGAGAGACTTCAACGCGTGGCGGCGTAGTGCCATAAACGCTGGTGACGTCAATACATAATTGTCCCCACGGCGAGTCTTCGTTGATGAGCAAGAAAAATCGATGCCGAGGTTTATTCGGTATTTATGTGGCATGGATATGTTCTCAAGCAATCTCCACCGTCTTGACCCAATCTGGCAGCGTTGAAATATCTGTGGAACTTCTGGCTGGACGAGCTTTCCATCTCCGTCCGTTTTAGCTCCTGCGGATCTCTGAAAACGTAAAAGAAAAGAAATGGAGACCGAGTTGCTAATGTACTCTTGACATCGTTTCGAATCGAAATCGGTCGATAATCGTGTTATAACGCGCAACTTTGACCCTGTTTTCTTTACCGATATTTACTTGTAGTCGACGCGTGTCATACTTTCGCCATACTTTAGTGGCTAATAACGCTAATAACGATCTAATTGAGCCTCGCTAATGAGATGATCTCTCTTTAATAAACAAACAATCACGGAAGAATTTGGCGAGAGATCAAGAGTTCTTGCTAGAACTAATGATTCTTTCGTGCATTGTTGTCGGAAGACGGTGAACGGGAAGAACGTAAGAGGAGAAACAGCCGGGTCTGCGTGGAACGTGATTCGAGCGATTCGGAGCGATGACCACCTTTCTCTTCGCGATTGACGCCCGAAGTGCTCGAATTCGAACGTGACGCACAAGTGTAGAATGTATAATCAATGCCACGACGATCGAAATTTTTACATGATTTATACACTAAAAAAAAATTGAAAAGAAGGAAAAATTTCAAATGGCCGGTGATGGAAATTTCCGCGTTTGTCTTCGACGATAGAACGAAATAACTTTGTTCTCGTTCCCACGCTCTCCACTATATTCACTTCAGATTGAATCAATTTCCTCTGGATAGTAATAACGAACGATGCACCAGTTGATAGTACGCTTCATCTTTTACTCTCACCTGGACAGCTCGTTGGAAACGAGGTTGCTGTGCGGCGAATACACAGTCGGGTTCTTGTACATGCTGCACACGAGCCTCTCTCTGCAACTCTCTTCGACGAATCTCAGTTGCTTGAATATCTCCTCCAGCCTGTTAATTATCGGCCCGTAGTACTCGTCGTCGTACTTTGGCCGTTGCGTAACCACCGTAACTCTCGAATCCGCTGGGCCACTCTTTGCCGAAACTTCTCTCGCATTCTGCTGTCCAAACGCGACGTACGAATTCTTGATGTTTGTCGCGGTTGGTAGCATCGTTGACGGCAGGTTTGCGGGATTTAAAGGAACGTTGACGACAGTTGGCGAGGCTGATTGGCCTGCTGTTCTGCGATTGTTATCGGCATACGCTGAATAGGCCAGGCTGTGAGCAGACGACGGTGGACGTTTCTCCAAATACGGAGAAACTATTGGATGCGCGTTTGGCGCATATTGAGAAATACCATACATTCCAGAGTGAGCGGGCACTGGGAAAGGTGCAGCCGGATGTACTGCCGGCGAAGGCCGAGCTGGCACGGGGCCAGCTTCAATTTCGTAAGGCTCCTCGTAAGGTTCGATCCCCCATTCCTTTAATTCTTCGATATCTTTTCGGTACTGAATGTGAGGATGGGCGTAATCGTAGCCGTCAAATTCGTCTTCGTGGTGATTATGATGGTGATTGTAGTAGGTTGGAACTGGTACCGGGACTGGTACATGGTGATGATGATGCGCTATCTGAAATGAAATGATTAAACGTTAATTTTCGTTGACAACGGAGAATCTCTAAATTGATGTAATAATAACCTGATGATGGTGATGGTGGTACTTCGTGCCGTGCGCGGAGTAATAGCTCGAGCATAGCTTAAAAACATGAGCGAATGCCGGGATGAAGAAGAGCAACAACTTCAGGAACAGCTTCTTCGCGGCTCCCACGCCGAACAGGAATGGTATCACAAACATGAACTTCACTTTGATTAGCTTGATGATGATGAGCAGAGCTAGCAAGCTTGTCAACAGTTTGTTCTGTATGAATTTCTCTGAAATGGGAACAATATCGATTAGATTCACGGAAAATCAGATTGTCGATAGAAAAATTTTTATCGTTACAAATCAAAATAATTATTCATCGTACTGATTTTCTTAAAGATTCTTCCTTGGCTCTCCAAGCCACGTTGACCGAAGTCCAATTTAACTAGAGCACCGTTTTCGTCCACTTCGCGCGGACTTATTTTGATCGTAGCTCCCTCGAAGAAGAAATCGGGTAATTGAATCTGATAATCCCTGTTCGCGAGGAATTTCACCACCTTCTTCCGCAATGAGTTAGTCACCTCTTCCAAAGGTGACTGCTCTTCGCCGAACTGTCGACCTTCTCCCTCCCCCTTCTCCTCCTCACTTTCCTCCTCGTCGCAGCCATCCTTGCTGGACCCTTCCACGAGATTTTCATCCATAGGATCATCTCGACTATCCTTTTTGCGACACGTTCCATAGTTCAAATCGTTCTTGGTCATAGTCAAACCTTCAAACACCGTGATATTGTCTCGTTCCGCGAAAACACTATCCAAATACGCGTAAGCATTCTTTTGTATGCAGGAGAACGTCACGGACTGGTCGCAATCTCTGATCAATCCTCTCCACAATTCATTTCCAGTCTCATTGAGTGCCAGACCATCGAAGTTCAAGATTTTCTTGACATTGAAGAACTGGCAGCTTGCGTACGCCACGCAGAAATACACGATCACGATCACGGATCTTAAATGCATCCTTGACAACGGCTAAGTTCCAAGATAAATATTTCTCTTTTTTCTTTTCTTTTCAAAAAAAAAATTTCAAACAAAACTTCACTCGTATCTGACTGAACGAAATTTAACGCAATCGAATGGGTTGTTATATGTTAAATCGTTCAAGCGTGTAGACTAGGTGTAAGACAGAACGGCGTTCGATACACTTTTGTTTTCGTCAAACCAACATCATCCTGTCCACGTGCACTCTTTTATCACTTCCGCTGCCCCCTCCAACGACCACGACCTCGATATTAATTTGAAAGGTGGATCACACCACCTTCGAACGTTCTATCATCGACAGTGGGACAAGATCGATCTTTCAATTCCAAGCAATCCAGTCGCATGGTAATTCGTCCGACGATGTCCGTGTCATCTGGCCGGCATGATCGTTCTCGTCGGCTTGTTTCCGTTCTTCTCCGTTCCTTCTCCGCGAGACGCGTTCCGTTCGATCTCCCGCTTAAAACTAACCACAGGCTTCTCGGTTCTCGGTTCTCGGTTACAATTCACCTGAGCGTCAAGTGTGTCAAAGGCCCTCCTACTCCGTCCGCGGCCGCTCCGTGGAAGGTCATTATCGTCTCCTCTCCGGCTGCAGCCGGGCCACGCGTCCAGCTACACGCGCGCGCGTGTCGAAAGGCGTCGACGGACGGATTTTTGATTTTGTATGCAACGCTAGACTGAACCTCCTGGCAATGCTCGCGGTGAAAGCGGTTGAAAAACCTGCCAACTTCTCTTCGCAACGATTTCATGCTTCGAGTCGAAACGTGTGATTCGAGCGTTATGGTTATCCGTGACATTTTGGTCACGTGTGAGCGGCGCTCGTCGTTGATATGGGGATTACAAGTGATGCTAACTACTCGCTGGGATCTTTGTCTTCTAGGAACTTGTTATTATTATTATGACTGTGAATAAAGCTCTGAACTGAATGACAGGCTCAATGAACTTAAAGCTCATCCTTTCGTTTTGTTGCGACTTGCAATCGGGAGAAACGAACTTGCGAATTCTACGAAAATTGCGCGAACCGTTGCAGATTGCTGCTTATATGCTATCAAACCGGTCTGATGCGAGCTCGTAAGTGATCCCATTTCGATTATCGCTGGGAGATGGTAGTTGCGAGACGTCGAAGATTGTTTCAAGGAAGCGGCCCATATCCGAATGAACGTAAAACGCGCAATAGATGCAAAAAAAAAAGAAAAAAAAAAAA